AGCAATAATACGAATCCGGTCTGCATTCAACGAAAAGGCGAAATGACGAAGGGTACGTCCACATCCTGAGCAACCTCCTCCCTTTTTTCCTACCCTTAACAAAACGATGTCGCGACGGTCGTCGTCCCAGGGATCATTTGAATGCGTCGCTGCGCCGATGATAACAAGTGCCCTTCGTAAGCACAACAAGACTCTGAATTAACTCTAAACGGTAACGTTTTAAAAGGGTTCAGAGTTACGTTTTAATTTCACACACAATAACGTTCGGATGTTAAGAAAACGCGAAAGGGGTTTTTATGCGCCTCAGACGTGCAATTTTTCGCGGCAATCGCGTGCACCCCCTGAAATACACACACCCAACCCCCACGACCATCTTCGAGCACTTTAAATATGCACGCTTATTGGACACCAGAGAGTAGAGCTCTTTAAGAACACCATAAAATGCGACAGGATTTCGCCCTTCCGTGAGCCGACGGGGGGTGGAAATCCGTGGAACAACCGCAGCTCGGCCCTTTTTGCGTGTATCGGTGGAGACGGGAAAATGTAAATGCAGCTATAAAAGTAAATCTGTGCAGATTTACTTCCATCTCGAATTGCTGAAATAACCACGACGGGATCACTCGGTACATCATAAAGCCAGGATCCGGGATCTACCAGATCTATTCACCTGACGCACAACACGAATAACAATCGACACATAAAAATAAAGACATAAAAATAAAATAAAAAGACAAGTTACATTTCTGCTTTTCTGGATTTCTCCAAAGAAAATTCCTTAAAAATCCTTTAATAAATTAATTGTACTGAATCTTAACACATATATAAAATAAGACAACAAATGTAAATAGATTATGTCTTGTGGAATCAGATTTACATACTTCAATCTCTTTCTTTATTTTTTACAACTTCATCTCATTCAGAGTGAGCATCTGCATAGAACTGGCATAAGAAGATTAAGGTAGTAATTGCGGCCATGACGAATGGCCGATATAAAAATACAATTTGCATATGAAAATAACCAATATGTAACAATAAAACGTAGAGAGTATGTGACGGGGAATATGTAGTGTAAAATTTCATTTGAAAATGATGCGTTTTAAATTATCAAAGCAGAACCTCCTCGGGGACCATTAAATCGTTCAGACTATTATATGGAACCCAGGAACAACACGGGGAAGACAAATCTCGCGCTAACGTCTCCCTCCCCCACACTTGCACACGCCGTCTCCTCAACCTCTTTTCCTCCACCTCCGCCTACTTTTATAGAAAGAAACAAGGGAACGAACGAGATTCATTACTCTAAACATATTTCACCTCGCCCGGCAGCGTTTGTGTACATTGGGCGCAAAGCAATTTATCGCCAACCATTTATATTTCTCCGTGTTCTACTATTTTTTTTCTGTTCTCTCTTCTGGTATTTTTTTTCTTTTCGTTACTTCTTTCGTCTCCCCTCACTTCTTCTGCAACACGAATTTACATTCATCGATAAGAGAAAAAAATAGAATCTAAACCTAATGTCTGGAAGGACCTTCAATTTCCTGCAAACACATAAATAACCTGTTTCTCTCCTGAAACCGAATCCTACACTAATTCGACCACATTCAATTACTGAATTTACCCAAAAGATTTTAAATTGAAAACATCAAATATAATTATTTTTTCCATAATACAAATCTAATTCTCTACTTGTTGAATTCTCGAACCTTGTATGATGATGATTACATCATGATGATCATCAAATCTTTATCGTTTGTTTTTCTTATCCATTGGTAAATTTTATCTATAGATTTTATTGCTTCTGCTAAAGCCGAACGCCGCTTTTTCTCTTGTAACCATAAAATCTAAACCGCGATCTAATCTGATATTTCAATGGAGCTCAAACGCAGATATAAATCTAATTTTCTCCCATAAACTCAGCGTTTCCGATATTTTATTACACAAATACCAACAGATGTTCTATTCCTATATATTAATCCAATTTCTACTAATAACATAAAAAATCTTATATAATTACATTTTACAAGTTAATTAAGCTTTTAGTCATTAGGGATTTCAATATTAATAAAAAATAAATGAAAATTTGCATTTTGGTAAGGAAAATGTGATAATCGTATTTATGAAAATACCTATGTTTGTTTGAGCAGTGATTTCTGGGAAAGAAAGGCGATTTCACGCTGATAAATCATATTTTCAGTTAGCGTCCAGTGTTAAACGGAAACAATAAAAAAAAACAAACGAGAATAAAGGAGAAGGAAAAACACAACAACCGACGAGGACAAGAGGAAAGAAAGAATCATATTTATTCATGTTTTCACGAACACCTGAATCGGGCTCCTTCTTATACGTTTTCTTCTTATTCCTCTTACGTCTTTCCTCTTCTTCGTCTTCTTACATGTTTCCTCTTCTTCTTCTCCCTACCTGATGCAATTAAAAAATTCGAAACAGTAGCCACGATATTCATGAGCGAATACCGCGCATCGCATTCTTCTCTTCCTTTCTTCAACTTCGTTTCCATTTTATTAAAAGGTTCCTGTTCGTTTTTCATTTCATTCATTTTACTTTTAATTGCAACAACAAAAACATCTCTTCATTTTTATGTACATAAAACTGCAATAAATTATATATGTATATTATATGCATATTTTCTGCGAAAACATTCTTTTTAGGAAAGGTTACACGAAACGATTCCATTCGTGTTGCGCAATCAAATAATTATAACTAAATGTTAATAGAAAAACGTTTAATTTCGATTTTTTAGATGATAATTAGATATGAGCGCTTTTAATTAAAATTACTTTCACTAAATACTCTTACGTAATAATGAATCACCGATTTGTAATATTTAAATTATCGGATTTCAATTGAATATTGTTATTATATATTTTTGTAATTGTGAAAAATTCAAAAATATATATACGAAAGTTATGTGTCAATAAATTTCGAACTTTAAAGTAAGCTGTATTGTATTGAGAGGTATTGTTTTTGACTTTTTTATTTTTTTGTAAATAAACACATTACTTTTCTTCTTTACGATGTGCCTTTTCGCAGAATTGCGTAACCGATGCGTGTGTAGAAAGTCGCATAATGGAGGCACAATGAAAGTGTGAGAAAAAGTGTCGGTCAAAAATACATTTTTTTTCTCTCTCTTTCACGTGAAGACTGAAGATTTCGTTTTCGGATGTTTCCCTCTGACGTACAGAAATTTATACAGGGGTTGCTGGTTTTTGTTCTTCCTCAGGTGGGCAAAATAAATTGCGAAAGAATTATCGTGGGGGAAAGTAAATAAATTTGATAACTGGAAATGTTCAATTACTTATCAGATAACATTTGACAGTTATAATGTCTATATGCATCACGCAGGGTAGTTTCAGGTACCGGTGAGGGTGAAATTCATAACGCACCCAGCTTGTCACAATATATCTCCTTACTCCGTTACTTTCTCATCTTAACGACCCGATGCTTATCTGCGGACGATTTGCCCATTTAAATAAAACCAGTGGTTCCAGGAATGAACCTCATCCAGATTCGCGTTCCTCATTTTCACCGTAACAAAGAAAAATAAAATAAAAAAATAAATTAACAAGATCGCTGAATGTAAATGTAAATGGATGGAAGTTGCAACTGTTTAATTGATATTCTGGTCTTGATGTCGTCTGCAGCCGCAATGCGACGCGAGGAGGAGGTTGGATTAGATTAGAAGCGCCCCAACAACCCAAGAAACCAGACAGACTTGCTGACGCTTAACAGGAAGATACCAGATCGGCCCTCTTGTTTACAACCTTGTCAAAAATCATAATTATGTTGACGTTGAGGGCTACCTGTTCCTTCCTCGGAAAATGGGTGGGGATACGCGCCACCCCCTTATTTATGTCTCTATTTACAGCGAAAGCTCTTCCTTTCTTTATCTGCGCGCTCGATCGCGAAACCAGGAAAGGAAAGGTACGGGCGAAAGGTACAAGATATGATATAGATAGATACGGCTGCGGTTAATACGGATTTCTTCATAAATTCTTAGCTCTTTTGTTTCTTTTTTTTTTGTTTCCACTTGTTCCTCTGCTTCTCACTTATACAATACAATACTAACCAAAAGTGGCGACACAATCAGATTTTACACTTAAATTATTTACAAATATTAACCCTTTGCGGACGGAGATATTTCAATGTGGAATGTTCAACTATAAAAACTGAAACTGCTGTGTTTGCACTGGTATATTTTGAATAAACATAATCCGTATAAAAGATATAGCAGATATATCCGTCGCTCATCCGCAAATGGTCAAAGCATTAAAATAAACAAGTACATATTATAATAAAAGTTATCACGAACAAATGTTTTAAATTAAATACAAAATGAAATTTAGTTATTTTTAATCATTAAAATTGATATAAAATAGATAGTTGATATTTTACATTTATTGTATACTTTTCTTCATTTTAAATAAAATATTTCAAATTTACAAAGATAAAATTTTCTATTAGTATATGTATACATTAACTAAAAAATTCTATAACTTGTATATATTTTAGTTTATTTTTTCATTCTTTGCTTGTTTCTGAGTGCAATTGGGTAAATTGAGATGGCGGTACGTTCGGTGTCACATTACAATCAATCAAGGGGTGGTGCGCGGGGGTTGCATGTACCGATTATATTGGTTATTTCACAGGGCATTGGGCTCGACGCCGCCGGATGCGAGGCCCATAGGGACATGGAATTACCGTCCTTTTATTTATTTATTTTTTCGATCTGTATAATATATTTTTTTTTCTCGTTGCGTTCTCCCAGAAAAAAAATCTTCCTTTGCTTGGATCGATTTGAATAACTTTTGATTGGTGGCGCGGAATGATCTGAGCGTAAACCACCCCCGGGGGTGGTCTGCAACGACGGTCAAGCGAGCATCCAAATCCAATTCAACCATCCATCAATGGGAGTGACGCGACTTCCGGACGATTTACTTGCAGGCCTGCGAATGACTAGTAATTGTTTTTCTTCTTGCTTTCAGCAGCTACCAACCGAATTCCTCTGACTGGTTGGCGGTCGACTCCTCCGGAATTCCCAAGTAATGACATTTTATTTAAATCCATTCTACAATTAACTTTCGCACGCACGCGTTTATTTATTTATTTATTGTTTATTATTCACTTTCTTCAAATCGTTCGCTCTCTTTTTCACTTCATATTGTTTCACTTGCCTTTTGTTTTTAACGTTTTTCATTGATTTCTTTTGTTGTTTTCGTTTTCGGCTCTTTGCGAAACGAAACGAAACCGATTGCTGCAGGCTACGTGCCCCGACATACAAAAGCGATTTATCGTCAGACGATTTCGACGATGACGACACTCCGCCTTATTATTCGAACTCCGATTTCGGACTATTCGCAAGACAGTTGTGCCCATTGCTAATTGCACACGTCGATTAATATTCCAACGTAATTTTACTAATCTTGAGTCCGGTATTTCCATCTGCGCTTTAAAGTTTCACCAATTCATCATTGACACCAAATACGAATACATAAGCGAACTTTTCAATCATTTTAATTACAATTTTCAAATATTAATATTCTAAAACTACCAAAAAAACAACACTTTTTTTATGGTCAATAAAAACGAATAGGGGATGAAAGCTTGAAAATATACCCATTTAACATAATTTAATTTCAATTAAATAAATTAATAATTATTTTAAAATTATTTATACCTAAAATTCAACTAAATCTGACAATAAGGCTTTTTTTTATTATGTAACATATATATGTAATTGTAATTACGTAGGAATTGAATAATATAAAATAATATATTGATTATTCGTGTAAACGTGCTGCAAATCATTGATTTTATCGCTGATGAATATGTTTGGGTCACGAAATTTCGCGAATTGCGTCCATTATTTTTTTACATTGCGCTCGTGACTCATCGTCTGGCTTTGAATTATGTGCTAATTAATGTATGTAAACACGTCAATGCTGTTCTGAAAACAATCTATAAAATATTCAAATAATCTTTCAGTACAATTTTTAATAGTGCTATTTTTTTTTGATAAAATTTCATAGTTTGTTCAAAATTTAGCTTCAACCGTATTTTTTTAGCATTCCAATAAAATAATGATAAATTTACATGTATTTTCATAACCAACGTTATTCAAAGCCAATTGTTTTCCATTTAAAAATGCCGCAGTCTCGAATTATTGTTCCTGTTACATTTTCAATTTTGCATATACATTTCAATTCGCTGCATTGATTTAAATTTCCACTGAAAACAAGAATTATTATTGAATTAGCAAAACCTGCAGCAAAATTAGCAAACCTTTTATAAAAAAAAATTAAAGCAAAAATTAAATTAAATTTAAAAAAAAACAATTTTATCGTAACATGAAAAGTTTTTTTTTAAACTGCTAAAATTTTATGATTTTAATATTATGTTTTAGTGAATTTTGGGTTTATAAAGGTTTATGTAAAGGATAAATTGTATATGTCAAGAAATTGGTAAAATGTGAACTATTTTAATCTAAATAAAATGTGTTGATCTATAAGGGATGATGAAAAGTATCATTTTGTTGATACTAATGATGACAAGTTTAATTTACTTGTCAGACGATGACTTTATCGGTTATCTTGAAGCTATGCAAATTGAATTAAGTTTTTTTTTCTGTTTTCATCCTTGTTCCTGTCGGAGGGAACACCTCATCCCTTTGCGTAATAACTTCGGCGATAAATAAGAAAACTTTCGGACGGTATTCGAGTTATCAGGTGTGGCGGGAAATGATATTTATTCGTCGCTCGAGGGTTCGCATTTAACTAGTACCACTACTCCTCCGATGATAATAAAAATGAATTAACAAAAGTCAAGATATTAATGTACTTTTATAATGAATTTGTTTGCGCTGGTTTACGCGACCCAGGGGACATCGCCACCCCCCAAAAAAAACATCCACCCTTGTAGAAACCTCCACTTCTACTACCATCGCCGCGACATGTAGATTTAGTAGACATCGGGTGGATGCGATTTTTAAAGCTTGAGGGTGCCTTCGTTTTATCTTCATTTCCGGTTGTACAGCAAGTAAATAAAATTAATTCTCCACCTCGGTTGTAATTAGGGGTGCGATAAGTGGCGCTGCTTGAAGCATGATTTGCGGAGCGATAAATCGAGCAGAAATTATCGCCGCTGCATTTTGGGCACGACGCGACGGGAAATAAATGAACATGCGAAAAGCGAAAAAGGGAGTTTATTTAATAAAGAAAAGGAGAAGAAGAAAAAAAATATACGAAAGGAAGAAAAGAAACGAGGGGAGGTGTCATCCATTTTCGCAAGGTCAATTTATCACCGGGAGTTTCATCTCGCGTTTGTGATGCAGATTACAAATGATTCCTTGTAAAGGAATGCAAAGTGTAATAGCATAGCAGGAGCGAGGAAAGAACGTACGTGTAGTGTGTGCTGAAGCGACGAGGGTGGCGAAAGGGACAAGCTGAAAGAAAGAGCCTGACGGTCAGCAAAGGCGACCAACCCCACGGAGCCGATCCCGGCGAGAAATCGTCCCCGGGGATGAAACATTCAATGCCTACGTTGGAGCCGAGGAAACCTAATCAGCCGCTATTGACTCGGAGATATGGACATTAATGTCCTGGACTAATAAGTCTCATTCTGAATCACATTTATTAAATACACCCCCGGTATTTCCTCTCACTCTCTCACCCTGTCCATCACTCCCATCCTCCGGAAAAATTGCTCTAGCACACACGAGATTACGAATTCAGTGTATGCTTATGCTGCGGGGATTTCCCCTCCGGCCGTCCCGAACTATAAGACCCTTCTCACTCCCCCAATCTTCCGTCGAGACTCGAGGAAAGTAAGTAGGTAAATACTGCGCTCATGGACTTCATTAGACCTCAAAATTCTCGCCACGAGGGCAAACACCGCAACGGACAATATTGTTCCACCCTTTTAATGAATCCCTACCCGATTTATGCGGGCCGGAAGTACGCCGCATCGACGCCAGCTGATTGGATATAATCGAATAACGCGCGATGTCTTAACGCGCATCATAATACCTTCGCAATTTCCGGGGTCCTTTCGAAAGCTCCGGCGCCGTCAGCGTCTTAACTCTTTCCTGTTTCCGCAGGGTAACTCTGCGTCATTTCATCCTCTCTCAACTCTCTCTCTCCATCCCTGCTGCATTCAATGAAAACCCTTTTTACCAGATCTACCTCCTTCTCCCTCGAGCCCATCCCTCAGCAAATCCACTCTATTCATACTTCAAGCAAACAAAATATCACAATTAAAATTGAATTAAGTCTCATTACCATTTCCACTTGTATTTCCCTTCGCAACCCTTTTGTCCTTACTCTTACACTCTCTAAGATTCGAATCTGAAGATACATTTATTCAGCATTTCCATTAATCAAATTGCTTTCTTTTATTACATTCTTAATGTCTTTAACTTTAAATTGAATTTTTAATATTTATTTAAATCCACACATGAGACACATAGACATCCGCACATGATTAGAGAAAAACTAAAATTTAATTCAATAAAACAATTTTAACCCTCTTTTAATAACGAACAAATATTGTTCTTCCTCTCGCAAAGATCATTTGCGTTGATTCAATGGTGAAATGTAAATAAATCTAATAGGATTTATGTAGATCTATCTACCAGTCTCATCGCATTTCATCGTCGTCCCGTTTGGATTAACGTCGACCTAATCCATTTACAATTATAATATTAGCTGGTTAACTCGAATCCACGCTGCGGGGGTGGCTCATCAAGCACGAGTAGCTCTACTATTGAAAACCCTTTTTTTTTGTCTGGACAACGAACAGGTTTCCTCCTCACACTGTACACATCTTTTTTTTTCTATATATATATACATTGTTCGTTTTCCTGGTCAGAGTGGATTTCCATTTATAATTCGAACATCAAACAGGGTGTAGATTTAACGCGATTAAAGCGGAGGGGAATTCCCCGACCTGATTAAAAATGATAATTTATTCGCCGGCTAATTGGGAAGTAAATGCCGCGCGACCGATCGCTGGGCTTAATCCCATTTGCGGGGAAATCGAAACCGAGCTGGCAAGAAATCTCCAGGAGTTGCCAACCGGGAGAAGAATAAAAAAAATACATCTACATATTTTTTTATGAATGTTAACACAAAGTATATATAAATTTAATTATAATATCAAATCTAGTGTAGATGCAGCTTTTTTTTCAAAATAATTTTCAATTTTGTTATTCTTCTAGTAGTAACTACAAGAAACTATACAATTTATGCAATATACTTTTGTAAGTAATTATTTTTCATATTACTTGGAAAACACCCTGTATATATACATGCATACAGACTAGAGAGAAAGAAATTCTCCCTTTTATATTGTCTCACTGACACGCATAATTGCCAAGACAAATGCAATTATCATCGTCGTAGCCTCTCGGCCTCATCCCCAGAAATGGGGGATGAACAAGAGGCAGGCAGTTATTATTAAGGGGGTGAAATTAAATTGCTTGCATTTTTTTTTCTTCTGTTCTGTTCTGTTCAAACCTCAGAAACATTCGATTCAATATGTCATTGTTACCTCGTCCGTAAATACACCTGATCCTTCAGGATTCATCCTGCGACGTTATCTCACGTATCAGTATAATCATCGTCGCCGGTAATCAGTTTAAATAATAAAAGAAGATGCGAGTGTGCATACTAAGCGCGTCTCACAATTAAAGATTTGTTGCACATTTAGTAGAATTTAGACATCATCGTTTGTTATTAAAACAATATAAAATTATACAAATAATATGAATACATTTAGTATCCTAAATCGAGGTAATACTCTAACATTCAACGATTTGCTCAGGAATCCTCGAGTTCAAATCACAACTGATGAATAAAATATGATTTCCTGCGCGATGTTTCATTTTTTTTCTCATGTGTCTCCTCTTTATTCTTTCTCCTTCTGTATTCGTTGTCTGTAGGATGGTTGTTACTGTCATTTGTCTTATTTTCCGCCTGCCGCCGAATGCCTGGGCTTTATCAGAACCATATGTTGGATGCATGTTTTAAAATGCAATTCTGCGAGA